ATAAGACCGCCTTCCCTCCTTACACGAACTTACAACGCTCATGACTCAACAGATGGAATCTTTGCCAAAAACATACCACCGAGCACATAGGCATGCCCTGTGTTATCATTATTATTTTTTTGGCCAGAACCCTGTGTTATTAACTATTTGTGTGCAAAATTTGCAACGGGTAAATTAAACATGAATAAACATAAATGCTTATAAATATAACAGTACCCTATAATCAACCAATCAACCTAATATTTATATATGGATATAAGAGTACCATGGCCATTTAATTGCATAGCTTACTTCGCGGGGCAAACCGAAGATGATTGACTCCCAAAAGCTCTATCCTTAAACAGATATGAGTGACAATTCTGAAGCTTCTAAAACCATCTTACAACTATCAAGGGTGGAAGTAAAAGGTGAATACTTAATTAATATAAAGCCATATAAAGGCAAGTAGCACTTACAGAGCTGTTGGAATATTATAAAATTGTGCACTACAGGAAAGATAATAACGATCAAAAAGATTTTTATCAGTTCAAACGTCTACGCCTGGGAGCTCGAGAATCTCCACTATCCACATCAGAAATCCGAGACGCATCATTTCTCCTCCTGGAAGAGGATGTTGACAAGGATACCATGGAATCAATTTCTACAGCAGTGTCTACTTGACTCTCTGAGTGTATAACTGCAGCAACACTTGAAAAGGAATCTCTATCATCCACCGGTGGAGGCTGCTCTTGGTTTCTACTTCTAGAATGGCGACGGATATATGCCTCAACAAATCTCTCAGCAGAACTCAGAGCTGATGAAAGAGAAGAAAGTGTTGTTCTATGTGACTGTGTTCTTCGAAGTAAAAGGGACTCGACCCTGCCGTTATCCCCTACCTCATGGCCACCAATGTTGTTTTGAGTTAAGTCTACTGCATCATCTGCAGGTGCCCCATGAATATGCTCTCTCCGTAATGCCCGAGAGGTCAAAAATCTATTTAACAAGGTGCTGGTTCTGTCAGCTGCCTCCCGGGCATCGTCAGGCTCAGGTGGCTGGCCTACATCACGAGAGAGATCAAATCTACTTCCAAGACGCCGGATCATCTCTTCCACTGGCAATGTAAATGTATTTCGATGAATTGTTTGCCTCAGACTTTCAACGCGCCTAGCATGGGGTCTAACAGGGACTTTAAGAGTAGGATCTTCCTCAAGTTCACGGACATTGTTTCCCCGACCATATATTGGTGTAACATTTTTAAATGTTACCTCTCCCTTGCAAACTGGACATTCCTTAGCATCTGAATGGACATGTAGCCACCGATAGAGACATGGCCAACAAAACAAATGACCACAGCAAGTCACAACGGGATCTCTAGCCAGGTCCAAACAGATATTACAATCAAAAAAACTCCCATCATTGCCACTACCCTTTTCAACAGCATCCTTCTTATCTGATGCTTCATCATCCATAACACCATTGTTTGTTTCGCATGCTTTTGGTGCCACCTCTGCTCTTTCTTCAGCTGCCACGCTACCTTCTCCAGCCTGTAACGCACTTCCATTACCAGGGTTGGCCAGCAAATGATTCAATCGCATTGAGATATCATGGGCTTCAGGCAACATAACAAACCTACGATGAGGTTCAGGAGGATTAATGTGAAGATGCCGCCATCTCCACCTCTGTCGAGTCCTATGTCTAAATGCTTCGCTAACCCTAGGCTCTTCAATCCAATCCTCTAAGCCGACGGATTCGTTGGTTGGCTCTGGATCAGGACCCAGATTCAAATCAAGGTTCATCGCGTCCGATGTCTCTTCCCCCATTACAATTTCAATGACCAAGATTTAAAAGGCTTACTTTATTACGAATTCTGACGATGCAGCGTCAGGAAGATAACGAAATGAAACCACCAGAGAAAATTTTAAGAAAAGAGAATTAAATTACGGAACCTCAACTTTATTACAAATTACAAATTGGGGAAAAAAGAAAAGGTTCGATAAACCCTCAATTGGTGACAGAATTCAACAATCAGGAATTAGAATAGCCCAAATTTGCAACAACTTTGGTCAAAAACCCTAACTCCCGCACAAACACGAACGAAATCAGATCCAATACCCAAGGTTGACCGCAATCGAAATGAAACCCCATGCCCAATTGCTCGAATTCAACTCAATTACGAGAACCTCGTGTTGAAAGGCCATCGGAGGAAATCTCCGGAAGGGAATAAAGCAACGTGGAAGAGTCACCAAAATGGGTTTCGCGAAAACCGGTTTAGGGATAACAGATGAATAGAAAAAAGAGGAAAGACGGGAATTTTTATTGTTGGGAAGAGAAAAAAGGATGAGTACAAAAGGTGCGAGGGAGAGATAAAACCTGGGCTGTGACCCGGGAAGGTTGACGATCAGCTCAGACCTACTCCAATGGTGACGAAGGGGAGGAGGGGGAGACCTAGGCCGAGCTAGGTCCGAGTAGAGCCGAGCATTCTGGGTCTCCTTGGCTCAGCGATCTAACGAAGGAAGCGAGAACAAGGAGGAGGGTTTAGAAGGTAGGGTGTTTGGAATGAAAGAGAAGTCACCACCACGCAGGGTATAGGGGGCTGGGAGGAGGGGAGGAGAGGAGAGGGAAGGTAACGAGGGAGCGATTATGATCCTACCCAAAAAATTGACACGAACGGCCATGATGAAGGGTGCGTCCACGGTCGTGACGAGTGGCTCGGGTTAAAACAGAATCAGGGGCACATAGTAACTCGGAGTGACTCAACTTTACTATACATTGCGGAATCAGGGCCTTTCATAATAATCATACAAGTTCGGACTTTGGACCAACTAGTTTGCCAATTAGCAAGCTATTTGGCTACTTGCAGAACTTTTTCCCCCACCCGCCTCCGTAAATATTACTCCCTCTAATCTTATTTATAATTTTTAAATTTAATAAAGAGTGTGATTTATTTTATAAATTTTAATTTTAATTTTCTTAACATTTAATATATTTTTTAATATTACTTTTAATTATTTCTTTATTTTTATATTTTTCCTACACATTCTTTTTCATCTTTTTTTCACTTATTATAAAGGCATATTTGAAACCAAAAATATATTTATAACCTATTTATTATTTTAAACTAATGTTAATTAATTATTTATTATTTATGAATTAGTTATTTGAACCTTATAACAAAGACAAGAGGAAGTAGTACAAATCTTGCTCTTTTTCACATCCAGTAAATATTCAGCTGTATAAGATATTTTGCACTTTTAAAATATGATTTATTGTTTTTAAATGTCTGATGCTGTTTGTTACATAAAAAATTACTATTTGATTCACATTTGTTGATAAAATTGATTTGCAAAATGCAATTGTTTAATTTATTTAAGAAAATAAAACTGCTGTATCTGCTTCAATTTTTTTTTTTAAAAAAAAAGGAATAAGAGCTCAGTATGATTGCCGTTGATGCAACAAAAGAGTACATAGAGGCAGCTTGGTTTTCAGAATAAGATGAACAAAAAGGAAAGCATGTGAGGCACTTCAAAGAACCCAGCTAACGTCAAAAATCATTAAAGAAACAGGCATTAAAACTATAGGCTGCGTTTAAGAGAGAGATGGGTGCGATGAAAAGGGCAGAAAGCAGAGTAAGAAGTAAGAGCCGAGGAGCTTGCTTTATTAAGGGTCGTCCGGCTGAAAATTTCAAGTCCCAATGAACGGAGAATGTGAATGCGAAGTATGGAGTAAGTGATGTGGATGTACGATGAAGCTTTTGTGGGCAGGTACGTCTCCAATGTGATAGGACAGACGACGGACCATGGGACTGAACAGTGTTTTGGGGATACGAGGTATTCAAACCCAAACCCTGCCCCCTTTACTGTCCCTTGTTATTTTGGTTTTATTAAATTTGCTGCCTTAAGGTTCGTCAATCATGATGAGGTATTCTCGTATTAATTACTTTTATGTTCCTATCCCCTGTTGATTTCTATACAGAGAATATCTGTAAAAGATAGTTGAGCGGTTGATATGTATTACCTCCGATCTTTAATATAAGATCCTGTTTGATTTTTATTTTGGTCCTAAATATAAGACCCCAACCCATTTGTCTCTCATATTTTTATATTTTTTTCTAAAGTAGTCCTTCTAACAATAATAGTTCTAGTTAATATACTTGATTAGTAAGGATATTTTAGGAAAGACAACACCTATTTAGGACAAATAACTAACTCAACTTACTTCTTTAATCTCCTTAAATTAGTCAACTGGCTCTTATAATTAGGACCAGAGGTAGTATTTTTTTTAAAGTCAAACATAATATTTGATTTAACTTATTTTAAATATTTTTTTGTACACGTGAGAAAAGTTCTATTCAAAATCTAAAATCAAATAAAAAAGAGTTTTATCTGAAAATCTAAAATGATTTTTTTAGGGATGCATGCCAAGCACACTAGTTATAATCTTTTAAAAAAATGTATTTATTTATATCAAACAAAAATTCTCCATGCCGTCAAATCCACGAGTTGGCATCAGGCTACGAAATGAAAATGTTCCCCCGCACCCCAAAAAAGAATAACGGGTAATAATTTATTTCTTCCTGCTTCCTCCTATAACAGATAATAATTTAGTAGGTTCCTTGCAGCAAAAAAATATAAATGAAAAAATTTAAAAGATGATAGAGTAAAATAACGCAATAAAGGGCAGGGCTAGGAGATGTCCCATGCTCTAGTGCCCAAACCCTTCCCCACCCGCCCCCCCCCCCACCGAATGAGGCTCACTGTAGAGGGCAACTCGTTTCCATCAAGTTATATATTGTTGCTACTGCATATTCAGGACTTGAATTTGAGACTTTTTATTAAGCTAGAACGACTCCCTTATCAGTCGATCTAAGCGTATGGTGATTCTAATACCCACATCTTAACTCTTGGAGGACAAGACTTTTAGACTTGTCTAATACTCATATTTAATATTTAATTTTTTTTACGTAAATTATATAGTGGGCCAAAGCATCGTATGGTAATGACACAAATAATGTCAGAAAAAAATTTATGTTAATAAAAACTGGGAGGATTATTTGCATTTCTTTTCGGACCTCAATTACATAATTTGAAATCTTCGTTGAGATAAATATAAATAAGTAAAAAATGATCCTCTCAATTCGTACAACCATCACAATTCGTCCCCATTCCATCTTTCCAATGGTTAAAAATTAAAATTGAGACAAAAACAAATTGAGGGATTAAAATTGCGGATGCAAGGTTGACTGATACTGCGCAAGCATACAACCTGGCTTCACGTTATGTAGAAGATAAGCATCAGATTCAGATGGAATCAGGAAATCTGTCAGACAACCATTTTTGGCAGACAAGACAAGCCAGAAGGATCTGCATCTTCCAGTTATCAGAACAAAATCTTATTCAGGAATTCATACATTCAAGAACTCTGCATAATAACTTAGGAAGCAAGTCCCAAAATACGACGTAGAAGGCAGATATAAACGTCATCAAATACAACCGTACGTAAATAACAGTGCAGGAAGAAGGCATGAATGAGTACCCAAATAATTGGAAGTTGATGCGTCAACTTCCGTTGACTTTCTTGCAATCGGATCTGATTTCTCCCTGAGTTCCCGTTAAGGGGCTAATGTTACCCATATTGATCATGGACTGAGCAAAGGCGACGAAGAAAGCAGTCTGGTTGCCCGCAAAGTTGTTAACGATGGAGATAGTGGAAGAACCGTTTGTGGAGAAGAGCTCCTGGTCGGATTGAAGAAGGCCCCGATTGGTAAGAAGATTAGCGAAGTAGTTGTTATCAAAAGCGTTAGGAGAAGAAGGGTCGAGATTGTTCAGAGTTGTTCCGCTGCCATTCTGAGGACAATTCTGCTGCAACGTGGCCAAGTAGGTGGTGTTCAGAGTCGGATCAGGCCTTCCCGTTCCACTGAAGTTGAATAGCCTGTTGCTGAAAAATCGACACTGCGCTCGACCAAACGTGTGCGCACCTTCAAACCAGTTCCATTTTTTTCTCAGCCGTGTCTATATAATAACATGTGTGTGTGTGTGTATCCCAGCTACCAAGATAAAAAGTACTTCTTTTATGCAATGAAAAATGGTGAATCAGTATTACCAGACAACGCAACGACGTCGTTGGTGTTTAAGCCCACTGCCGCAAACTTTGCCGTGATATTGGCGAGGCTGTCAAAAGGGGTGGGAATTGCGGTGTTGGCACCACTCTGATTTGCTACCAGGCCGTCTCTCCTCCCAAGTAGTACGTTCCACGAAGGACCACCTGTCTGCAAATATCACAAGGATACAGAAAACATGAGCAATATTTCAGTCGGAGATAGGAAATATATGCAAGAACGTGAACGACGACGAAGATAAACTGATATAGTTTACAAGAGACACAGATGCTTCGGCTGCGAGGGCAAGAATATCGGCACAAGACACCACCCCAGGGCATGAGTTTTCAATGGAGGCTTTGATTCTATCAACCACGTCAAAGCCCCGAGCTGAATTGTTGTTGGGAACCGCACTTTTCTCGCTCAGCGTTATGCTACCGCCCTGGTCTAACAACACCGACCCATCACATCCCTGGACGCACACAAATAAGCAACAAGATCTATTATTCGTAGTATATATATACAAGTCTTCACATTAGACTATAATCAAAAGTTGCCTGTTCTTCTTCTTGAATATATATATATATATGTTTGTATGGTGTTTACATTGACAAAACAATCATGAAAGTGAAGACGAGTGAGGCTTGCTCCTATACGGGGATCAGATTGCAGAGCCTGCTGAATCACACTGCTCACGATGGAAGATACATTTGGGCATGTGTTAGAATAGAAGGTTGAAGTCAGCTGAGCATTTGATGAATAAATTAGGGCAACAGGAAGCAAAATGGTAACCACAAGCTTGTAACAGGAAAAGCAAGGCATTTTTGAGTTGTTGATTTCTTCCTTCTTCACAGGAAATGGTGGGTTCACTGAGTGATATGCAGGAAGCCTATATATACTGCTAAATGATAAGAAGCACGTCGCGTCTTTGCAGCTTTATTATTTCCTTGCTGATAAAGTGTCGTCCTTTGGTTATTGCTTAGAAGCATGTATGAATCATACATCATCTTTAATGCGTATTAAGTACAGCATTCCCGGAAACAGAGTTGAAAATTCAAACTACAATCATTTCCCACTTAACAAACTCGTCGTGCTCTATATGTGATCAAATATGATATTGGGATCTCCTGCAATTTGAATAATTTTTTCTCGAGCATATGGGCTGCTTGTAATGATTCGTGCATTAGCAGCGGCTCGTTCAAAAGCTTCTGCTTCGTCACTAAGCAAAGGGTTGATAATACCGGTAATTTAATTTCCTCAACCGCGTGTCTCTTTCTTCTAATCGATTATAATACACAAATTGCCTTTGCCTCTTACTTTTGCATTCCGAAAGTACCTGGATTCATTCATTTTAGGAGGCGTTTTCCGACACCGAAAAAAGTAAAAGAGACTGTTTGATATGAAGTCAATTTCGGAACCATATTAAGAGAGAAGATTCTGGGGGCCTACTTCCCAGAGGCAGGAAAGTAACCCAAGAGCTACAAAGGTGTCAATAATTCATATGATTGCTTGACTTTGTGTTTTGGTTTGGTGCAGGGTACGACATCTAGTCCAAAACAGTGCGTGATATGATTGGAGTACTATGCATCGTTCTCGCCCTCCAAAGGAAACAGAGCAGTACCACCACACGTCCGTTATATTAATTAATATCTGTCCAGTCAATATTGGTTAGCGACGCCCTACTTTGGTTTCCAGCTGGTGGAACATTTAGATAATTCTCTTTCCCAGGTCACTTGGCCAATATGTGCGGAGCCACAAATTCAGAATAAAAAAGATTTTAAAAAAAGACCAAACCAAAAACAGAACATTATTAGATATCTAGGTAATCAATAATAATGTCATCTTATTGTGGTTTTGTTTTTAACTTTTATTCTAAATGTAAAAGGTATCATCCCCATATATGGTTTTTTCACGCCGAAAGAAACAATAAACCACGTCCAAACTTTTCTTTTTACAAAAAATTTAGAAAAAATAGTAACAATTTGAAATTACAGGTAAAGTTAAACTTAAGACCTCGTACTTATACAAGACAAATATATATGCATAACACAGCTGAAATAAAGTTACTTACGGGGCGTTTAGGTAAACCAGTAAGCACTTTTCAGAAGCATTTTTTCACAAATCGATGCAAACTCATCCACATACTTACTTCGTATACCATAAAAGCACTTCCAAGACCATGCTTCTCAAACACCCTTTTAAATAATGTAATGTTTGCTTGAGTACGCATAATTGATTAAAAAAGCAGTAGGCGGTGGGTATGGTGATCAAGTCTCACCATAAAGGAAACAAATATATATACTCACAAAAATTGGGTTCCACGTGAAGAAAGATACTTCAAACAGCTGCGCTGATTTGACCATTGTTAATTAATATTGAAGAGCCTGAACTTATATCAATCAAGCCCCTATTCGCTGCGGACCGGACTTAATTAATCTGGATCTAATAACGCTGTGCTGTGTTCCTCGAGCGCACATATTTAATTCTTTTCATTTTTAGCGGAGCAGATCTTCCACCTTTACAAAATATAAAATTTTTCACTTTCTAGTGGGTCTTCAAGTTGTACTCCTTGTCTTCTTGATATGTCAGCGATGGTGGTAGAAATAACAATAGAAGTGCACAGGCCAGCGAATAAATAGGACATAAAGTTTTGTAGTCTTGGACAAGAATAGATAATGTGTGTGTGTGTGGGTGTGGGTGGGTGGTTGGTGTGTGCGCGTGTGTGTTATTGGCCTCTGGTGTTATCAGAACCCTACAAAAATTCCTTCATCTAGAAGACGCGTGCCCATCTTAAAAAATGTATTGTTATGTGTCGATATCATTTATTTATTATAACTGGGTGATTGTACGTTAATTATAAGTATATATATTACTGTTAGTAATATTCGCGTTTAGAAATCTATACGCGAGGTCTGTTTATATTGTCTGCGTATCGCTGGAAAAATTAAGACACCAAGAAAAGGACAGTGTTGATTTGAGTTAGAAGAAACTAATTACGTGATAATTATGGTGATAAAGCCGTTGGTTGGTGTTCAGTTATCAGAAATCGCTTCACATAATCACGAGTTATTTTATTTGTGCATGTTTTGCAGCTAACCAGTCTCTGTCACCTGTAGTAACTTCCTAACTAGATATCAATCATGTTTAAAGTAGCTTTATATCCGAACTAATCATTAGTTAGATTTAATTAAATGGCACTAAACGCTCCAACCATACGAACAGCAGTGTTGTCCGTATATGTACGGATATGCACCTGTGAACGTTTAATTTAGACGAACGTTACATATATTCTTGCGTAAACATGAAAACTGCGCGAAAATCCCACTCGATATTTAATATTTTCCTGTGTTGACAGCTAAGCGCGAACCAAATGTTTTATATGTTACTATCTCTATGAGATCTCATTGTAGCCTACAAATGAAATCTTATAATTAGGTGTATTCAATCATGCAAATGCTAAATTAGAGAATTAATATTCGGACCAAAACTGCACATCCTTGTGCAGTAACGAAATACCAAAACCAAAACCAATATCGTATTCACCAAAAAAAAAGCCATAGAATCCAGATATAAGTCAAATTAATAATACCTCTGATTATATTTATAAAATATTGTTTGTAGACTACAAATGAGGTCTCATAATTGGGACCGAACGTAGTAATTAATAATAATACTATGAATCGGCATTATATGGTAGCTTAAAATCATGTTCTTGACTTCAGACGCACAATTAAAAAAAATTTTAAAAAAAAACTGTTGAATTTTAAAATTTTAAATTAGTATTGGTCACTGCACTCAAAGAAAAGTACTACAATTGAACAACCAAGACAAAAGGGTTTCACTTCGCACAAAAACGTATTAGAGACGGGTATAGTCCTTTGGTTCTCGCCTTCACGGGTTCGGGTTTGTTGGGCTGCACGTGCCAGAATAGTCGAAGCCCAAGTTCGGATCTTATTTGGCCCATGGGGTGGGATACAAATCCGGGTGGGCTTTGACTATTCTGTTACCAAAGTTCCATTAGCTTGACTATCTTGTTTTCTGCCAAAACAAGTCACTTTTCCACACTAATATCCTGATGGGCTTTGACTATACTCTCCTGACATTCATGTTTGTCCTGTTTAGTACAGTTAAATTTACTTAAAGGGACTTTTAGTTATAAAGACAATCAATTTTAAGGCTGCCGTTGTGAAAAAACTTGACATGTCAAATTATAGACACCGATTATGATAGGGTGGATCAAGAATTATGGAGGTGTTTAAAAAAAATGCACAGAAAATTTTTCAGTTAGGGAAAGATACTAAAAGCTTGGGATTAAAAAAAGGCCTTGTGTCATAGAAATTTTTTTTATTTATATCACTGATCTATAAAACCATTGGGAAAATGCATTACAAATTAAATTATCATTAATCATATTAGAAATGGGCCCCTCTCATGGCACGCAGTCAGCCGCGTGGTTATTGATGGTCGTATAATGTATTGTGAACAGAAATTAACAGGATAAGAATATGCCCTTCTCCGTCTAAAGTTGAAGCACACGGTTGGGTGCGGAGTGCAAACAGTTAGGATATTGTGTGGCAAAGAAAAGAGAAGTTATGACATGATCATTGATAAGCATAACTTAGTCCACCAGATGGCGCACTGTAGGAGCAGTAAAGTGAGGTGAAGGGCCGCAACAAGTCGTGTCAACGCCTTAATGCGCTCCCTTGTCATCCTCTCCCCTGGGTCTCCCTAACCGGACCAAATCAACTGCGCTTCAATCCAACCATGGTTTTCCAGAAAAGCATCCTTCACCGTTCATTTCTGCTCCACAGTCCACACACACCATTTCTATCTCACTTCTCTTGGCACCACGTCATTGATCGCATATATTCAATTTCCCGGTTGCCATAAGCAAGCGGGGTGGGCGCTGTCAACTTGTAGCTGTTAAACATGAGAAAAGAAGGGTGTGTTCAAATAATAGTGCCCCCTCGCCTGTTCACTCACTATTATTAGACATGAAGTTTCGTCAAGGGATCCCCAAGCGGCTCTAGGTGTAAAAAGTCCATTCACAAGTGGTTTGGTTTGATTTTCCTCTTTTGAGGGGTTTATGGGAGAGCCAAGACCAAGATGAAGATGAGTTGGACCAAAAGGGGCATTTAATTAACAACAGTAACGTGTCCCTTCCTGTATGGAGAAAGAGGGGACGGAAACGCATCGTTTGAGAGAGGGAAAGACAAAAACGGACTTGTGACTTGTGAGGAAAAAGGCAAGAGAAGAGGAGGGTGTTGAGGGGAAGAAGGGGGGGCCCACACGCCCCCACGGTCATAAAAGTAAGAGGGTGGGGTGAATGATAAAACCACCCACTCCCTCCTCCTGCTCCTCCGCATCAATTCTCTTCCACCCTGCCTTCCCTCGTCCGTACTCTCCTTGCCTTCTCATCCGGCCACCTCCTCCTTCGCCCCCCCCTCTCTCTCACGTGCTCTCTCTCTCTCTCCCCCTCCTTTTGCATCTTCTCTTTCTTTGGTGCAACTAAATAAAAGTTAGAGAGAGAAACCCCCCCTCCCCACAAGCCCCCTATCTGGCATCAATATATGTGGACTCTCCCATGGAGCCTTGGAGAGCGAGAGCCAGCCACACACACTGTGCTTCTCTGCTCTCAATCCTTCCAAGCCCCAATTTTTCTCGGTCTTCGCAGCTTCTACATGTAGCCTATGTCTTCCTTCCCCTTCTCTCCCTCGTGTCTTTCTCTTTTCCTTCTCCCCTTTTCGCCTCTCAAATCTGAACCTTCTTCCTCTACATCGCCTCTCCTCCCTCCCACCGCTCCTAATCTTTCCCTCTTTCTGGCGTAAATCTGGTGGGGTTACCCTCAAATCCTATCCTGCACCGCCCCCCATGAGGATCCGCAAAAGGCAGGTCCCTCCCCCTCTTTCAGATCCCCGTTCGATCCATCCGTCGCCGATGGTGCAACTCCCTCATGCTTCCTCACACAAATCTTCTGTTCCTCTTCTTCTCCAGCAACAACCCGATACTGCTGCTCTCACTGCCTCCCTCTTGGATCATACTCATCCTCTCCCGCCGATGGGGAAACCGGAGGACCCCGGGCACTCCGCCGCTATCGTCGCCGAGAGTGGAGCGCACGATCACCACACCAAGGCAGATCGTTCGGTTTGTGATTTCATTTCCTTTGAGTTTGCTATTTCCGTTTGCCTTTTGAGTTCCGTACGACTGCACTGCTTTATGTCCAATCTCTCACGCAAGCCACACGAATTAGATTTCACAGTTGCTGAGGGGCGCATTTCGGGGTCAATCCTATATCTCCGGATCTAATATTTGGTGCGTGATTTTGCAGGACGAGGCCGGGGGAGGGCGCGACGGAGGAGGGGAGAAGCGTAATGATACCGGGTAAGAAAGATGACAAGAAAAAAGTTAGGAATGAATATAAATTAAAATAGGATTATATGCGTCGTCGTCTCTTGTTTCATGGAAAAGAAATAAAAAGAAAGGTAGAAAACATGGAGACCCATAACTTGATTTTACCCGGCATCGAAAAGGGGAAATAATAATAAAAATAGGAGGCGCAAGAAGAAAAAATAGTGATAGTGGAAAATACTGTGGAAGGTGTCATTTGTGAGAGCACTGGTAGCCACCACCCACACCCCTCCTATGAGTAGGGGATCGTGTTTTTTCTCTAAATTGGCTAACCACCATGCGTCTCAGGCTCACAAATAGCACGGATATGCTGGTCCCCATCATCTCTACTACTTGTTGCTCTTTCTATGTATATATATATTACATTACACCCAACTTTATCTTTCGTCTTCCTTAAAATTTATGTAATTATGTGGTTGTTGTTCGTATGTATATCCTGGGCGTCGCTTGTCACTTGCTAGGAAAGGAGTCATCTCGGGTTCCGGTACCGTATCCGAAGTCATCCCACCCTCACCGTCTAATCTAGGTAAGCGTTATTACTTGTGACGGCTTGTGCACGGTGTTGTTAACGCCACATATATAACATGCTGAGCGCGGCATGCAGATGGGAAATGGTGCGACGGAGAGAAAGCGATTCCGCCGAAGAAACGAAGAGGGAGAGGCGGTGACTACATGATGAACACGAGGGACAGCAACAGTAATAACAGCAAGAAGATGAAGACTAGGATGAAGACGAAGATGAACAAGAAATGCACGCAGAATAATGATGATGACGATGATGAGAGAAATGGGGAGGATGAAGAAGAAGGAAAAGGGGAAGTGAATATGGATGTGAATACGAGCAAGAAAAGGGGAAGGGGAAGTTTGGTAATGGTGGAGGGGTCGCGGTGCAGTAGAGTGAACGGGAGGGGATGGAGGTGTTGTCAGCAAACACTGGTGGGTTACTCTCTGTGTGAGCATCATTTGGGCAAGGGAAGGCTCAGAAGCATCACCAGCGTCAGGAGCCGATCTATTCCTTCTGCAACTACTGCGTCGACAAAGAATAACGATTCTCTCTCTTCATTGTGCGCAGCTTCATCTTCTTCGTCTCCTGAAAAGAGAAGTATATGTGATTCTTCAGGCATTCACAACGACATTGACGAGAAGAAGCCGGCAGTGATTACGAAGAAGAGAATGAAGCTTGGAATGGTGAAAGCACGGTCCATCAGCAGCTTGCTCGGACAGACAAACACCCTAGTCACTCTACATGACAATGACAAGTAAGGTCCATTGCACCGAGCGTGAACTGTTATCCCATGTATTTGAGTCTCGACACCTCCAAACAAAGTTTATTACTATAACTTATATTCCAGTGCAACTGCGTGCTATTTCTTTCCGTGAGCATGCCATATCTTCATCCTCCTCCTGCGTATACTTCGTTAAATTCCTTTCCTCTCTCGTGATAGAATTACTATATATTTATGTTACTTTGCGAGCGCATTGTTTTGTCTGGCACTAACGTGATGCTATATATAGTATACGTATGTAGTTTCCCGATCGATGGACTGGATCATGATCAGTGTGTGTCCATTACCATTAACCAAGCAAATCGCTCGAAAAATTGTAGAATGGGATTTTATTCGAATAATTACATGGTTTCGAATTCATATGCAACTAATCTCCCAAATATCCCCGGTTTTAGAATTACCAAAAACATGTAGAAGCGAATCATTAATAGCCTGCTGGTGTTTACATTGCATAGTTGGAAATACGAAGCTTATGTTTTTTCACTTTGGAATGGAGATCAGCTGCCATTGTAGCTCATATTGCTGTTTTGCAGAAATATATATGGCTCGTGAACAAAAATGGCGTTTATATTTCTTGCGTAGTTGCATTACGGATATTATATTGTGTATTCAGGTGTCTGGCGGGGCCGCCAAATGGCACGAAAAAACGAGTTACAGAAATTAATTGTTTTATTATTAATTCGGGAACCTTGTTTATCATGCTAAAAAATGAATTGAATTTTGAAACGCGATTTTGTTAAAACGTTTGTACGTGACAATTTTGAAGAAAAAGATGCCAGTTTTTTTTTTAGCTAAAAAAAATTAGCCAGAGATGGTCATCAGATAAGCAGCAATGGCAGCAAAATATGATGTTTCCAGAACTATATATGTGATAGGACCATTTGATATTTATATGGCGGTGGACTAGAGTGATAGGCTAGGATTCTTTGAAAAAAATTTGGAGATGCAGAGTATATCCATATCAAAATCTGGAATTAAACCTTGTTTCGCTTGACTGTGCAACGAAGATATTGACTGGATATCTTGGCAACACAGTAATGTACTCCGCAGGTTATATGACAAGACAAAATAAAAAAATAAAAAAAAAGATTTAGGGAGCTGCGTTGGAGAGCAGCTTTTGATGGAGATAATGGACCCCATCTGCTTTGTTTTTCGTCTGCGTGATATGACCTTCGTCCGGTTGTTGCCGCTTACATCAAGCACTCCAAATTTCATCATCCCTGTGAATAGCGTGATTAATCCCTGTTCAGAAGCATCCATATGGAGTGTCCCCTAATTAAGTTAATTTCATGAAAAGAACAGAAAACCAACCATTTTAGTCAAAGGCAAAGAAGGATCGAAGGAAGAGCATCGCTGGAATGAGGGACTAATAGACATACAGCCAAATTAATTGATATCAGATATTCTCAACAGGATTGCTTGTTGTGTCATACGTACTTGCGCCGTATGACTTCGGGGCCATTCTATTGTATGTCATTTGAGGTCACTTTCTCGAGTTTTGCATAATATATATACACACATGGCATTTCAGGTTGAGTAGACAGGAGTCATCGGGAATTTCTATATATTTACAGTGAAGACACCACACAGTACGTGGAAACAAAAGGGGTGATGAGGAGGCCGAATGCTAATTAAATGCATATACGTGACCGTCGTTTCGCCGTGATTTCCATGAAAAAGTGACGAGTAATGGCATGGTCCGATCCATGCATAGTTATTTAAGGCAGAACCCTACACAGCACTATGCTTGTGTGCCTAGCCAGTACCAATTGCTTTTACGATAACATTGGACGCAGAATTCTCGGCAACACAATCATTTAAGCTTAAGTTCGGTCAAAAGTTTCTTGGATGTCAGAATCCAGTATATCTGTGCGCGCGCGCGCGATATGATATGATGATATGATATCCGTGACTCTTGTATAGAATTTTTGAGTTACCTTTTCATTCATCTCCTGTTGTTCCCCTCGCCCAGATTATAGTTTTCGAACTCAACTGGAGAGATAAAATAGATACAGATATTATAGCATGGGGTTGGTGGGTCTCTCCAACGTTGGACTCATCTTGCTTTTTGCATTCCGATGTGATGTTGTGGTGCGAGAATCCCAAGGTTTAGGTCTGCGCGATCGCGGAATGTAACAAGTAATGTAGTGATGAGGTTGTGTTTGAGACAGCTGAATGTAATGAAGCAGCAAATTAAGTGTGAGCAGTGTTGGTGAGTTACGTTCAGTGGTTTTGAGGCGTACGTGATGGATGAACATGGAATCGTGGGTGGCGATATTGTATGAGGGGAGGACAAGGCATGTGGGACGTAGATGAGAGGTATGGAGGGAAATGGGTGGAATCATTATCACGTAACACTATTTTTAACAGAAAAGCGTTGGGGGGTTTAAAAGTCAGGGTCGTGGTTGAGGTGTTGTTATCACTTGGTTTGAGTTCTGGGGGCGTTTTAGTAAGAATAAATAAAAGGCAATGGTGTGATGAATACGACGCTACCCTTGCCTCCCTACCCACTAAATTGACTCCCAACTTTCTCAGCCACTCCCGTGCTTTTCACTTATGTGTGTGTGTGTATCTCTCTTTTCTTAGCTTATTATCTCCTCAAGTCGATTAATTAATGATCTCTCTGTAACATTAAAAACACTGTGCTTTCCTTACAACAAATTTTATGTCGAATCAACGGATCCAGATCCCTGTCCTTCTCCACAATCCGCCACTGCCCGGCAGCCCCGAACGCAAAGTAACCAACTTAATCCGTATACTGTTGAGTTCTGTTTTGGTTGCTGAAATTTGAATTTCAACAAAAGCCACAAGCCATATATAATTGAGAGATCAGAGGGGATATATACTAGAAGAATTATGATATGTGGAGTTACAACAAGCCATGTTTGGTTGATGTTGAGGGAGGTTAGTTAAATGGGGGAAGGGCAGAAAGGGAGGTAAAGGTAGAGGGGCCCAGACAGCAAAGCGAGGGTTGGCGTGCTTGGTTTACACAGTGAGATCTCAGAATTATTGAATGGCATGTGGGTAGGCGCCCCCACCAATGGCCTTTCAATGCTAACAAACACTCATGTTCCTTCACACACACCCCCGCCGGGCCAGTTCTTTTACCTTCAATGCCCTCGATTGTGCTCGCCTTTGTTTAAGGTTTTAAAATTCTTGTTCTTCCATTAACGGCAAAAGCCACCGCCACTGCCCATTTCTTTTTTGGGGTTTATTCAGAAACCCCGGCCCCCTCCTCCCCAAAAAAAAAAAGGATGAGAGAGAGAGAGAGAGAGAGAGAAGTGAGTATATAGTACTCTCAATGGCCAGGCTGTTGTGCGTACAGCACAAAGGCGCAAGCTTTTCGAGCACACACATATATTAGCATTTGAATTGCATTTGTATTATGTGGCTGCTTCATGATTTGATAATTGGTTGCTTTGAGCAGGGAGGGGACCCGCCGGCTCAGCATTAGGCTCTGTGTAATACAGACGCAGAATTAATAAACTGAAGGATTCCTTTATGTGTTGCCAAATTTATTGAAACAGTGAGATAGTGGTTGTAGAACCACTAGTGCTTCAAAGAGGGGAATGAGATCTTATTCTTGGGGGATTCCCCCGTAGCTAGTCCGGCTAATATAGGTCTGTCATGGCTGTGCAGGCTTAGTGTCTTTTGATTCTGCAATAATGACAACATTATGGTGATGATGATATCACAATAGCTCAGGCCGCAGAAAGTACGTTATGATTACTAACCTTTGCCGTTTCTCGTGGAGAGCACTTCATTTTGCAGAGTACAAGAATTCAAGACCTTGCCGGCGTGCTGCCACTTTTTTTTAAGGTTACAAAAGAGGGCTTAAAGACCAAAAATAAAACTAAGAAGGATGGGGACCAAATCCCAAACAATCATCGTAGCATAGGCTTCTTATATCAGTAGGAGGAGTATCAAGAAGCATCGACATAGTAATTTCTAGGCGTGCTGCCACATATTCAATTGCTAACTGGCTTCGTTAAAGTTCGGGCTTCGTGTAAATGCCGAAGCCGAATTGTAGTTGAGATTGCTGATTCCTCACTCTCGATCGTAAGCTGGGCTACGCACCCATAATCGCTAGCCATCACATTCTCATCTAAACAAGAGTTAAAACTGTTTGATGCGTATCTAAATCTCCAAGTAGAATTATATTACCGATATTCTTGCGGAGCTTTCTGTGGTGGCGAGAGTGATAGGCTTGAATTACTCGCTTTCATTTAAAACTTCAATCCTGCAGGCTGGCCAATTCGCAATTAATTCATCAATGCAACATATATAAACATATTTGTAAGTTCTGGAAAATCAAAATGAAAGCATATAAACCGCATTTTAATTCGATTCTGATCTGATGAAATATATCGGGTTATAACGTGCGTGAGTGTGTGGAGATTTCATGCGCAGAATGCAACCCTTCAAGTTGAGCAATGGAGTGGACAATGGAAACGCCAACAGGCACATGCTGGGGCTGGTTGCCACTGTCACGTAGCAGATACGTTTGTATCTTGTTGACGTGATGGAGTTGGCTAATATTGTCGTGTTTCAATATTCTCACTGTCTTTGGCCATCATTTTTTTTTTTACTCTAAACAATTCATTATTCTGGCTTTTCATGATCAGAGCAAGTACAGAACAGTCACGGAACATGGAAGGCTTTTCAATTCCAAGCCATATTCATCTCTCCTCAGCTTTGAATCTTGACTGCCAACACCCAAAAAAACAAAAGGGAGATACCGATTTTCTTGCACCATGAAGTCCATATCTTCCGATCGAGAGCCATAGTTTATTGCGTCTTTCCTCTTCTGCTGCGGCAATTGGTTGCGTCGTTGAGAGAGAGGACCACTTTGTTCGAGGTTTTCGCTCCCAAGTTACTCGCATTGATCGCTGGGAAATAAATGCCGCTGAAGGCAAAGTTGACATGGATATACATATGCAAGTATAACTATCGTATGCAATTAATTCTGTGTGTTTTAACCTATCTGTTTTAAACGCCGGAATTGTCCGCTGGTTTTGCTTTCTGTCATTTTTATTTTCCATCGGAAGGAACATTGATTTCTGCCGTACGTGATCCCACTTTGTTGATAACTTCTCTTCTCCCTCTTCCCTTCTCTCTCCATTTTTTTTAACTATTAGATTAATAT